TTAATTAGGTACAACCTAAGCTTTACTAGAGTTGTAAAATTTTTCTCCATATAAATTAAAGAATTCTAATGGCTTCACACATTTATATTTTTTCTTAATGAAATATTTCCTGGGGCCCTCCATCCTCCCACTTCTTTCTGGAATGTTTTACTCTGTCAGCCTATAGTAACTTCCTGAGAAAAGGTATATGAGAGGTAGTTTGTGTGTCTGAAAAGTCTTTACGTTTCACATTTGATTGATGTCTTAATTGGATTTAGAGTTGTAATTTGAAAATAACTTAATTTTTTTTTTTATCCTCACCCGAGGACATTTTTCCATTTTTTGTTCAGGTAGAGTGGGAAGGAGAGAGAGGAACAGAGAGAGAGAGAAACATCGATGTGAAAGGAACACATCGAGTGGCTGCCACCCGCACAACCGACAGGGCCGGGGACAAACTGCAACCGAGGTATGCGCCCCCAGCGGGAACCGAACCCGGGTCTCTCAGGACCGCAGGCCGACGCTCTAACTGCTGAACCAAACCGGCCAGGGCAAAAAATAACTTAATTTTTCCTTAGACTTTTTTTTAGACAGGAAGGCGGGGGGAGAGAGAGAGAAACATTGATGTGAGAGAGACACATTAATTGGTTGTCTCCTGCTTGAACCTGACTGGGGTTGGGGGTCAAACCTGCAACCAGGTATGTGCCCTTGACTGGAATCGAACCCAAGATCCTTTGGTTTGAGGGCTGACACTCTAACTGCTGAGCCAAACTGGCCAGGGTAGAATTTTTTTTTTTAAGTATATTTTTATTGATTTTTTTAGAGAGAGAGGAAGGGAGAGGGAGAGATAGAAATATAGATGAGAGAGAAACATCCATTGGCTGCCTCCTGCATGCCCCCTACTGGGGTTTGAGCCGGCAACCTGGACATGTGCTTTCACTAGGAATTGAACCAGCAACCTCTTTTTGCATGGGACAATACTCAGTCTACTGAGCCACACCAACCAGGTGTAATTTTTTCTTAAAAATTTTAGCCTTGGCCGGTTTGGCTCAGCGGTTAGAAAGTCGGCCTGTGGTCCAGAGAGACCTGGGTTCGGTTCCAGCTAAGGGCATGTACATCAGTTGCAGTTTGTCCCCGGCCCTGGTTTGTCGTGCGGGTGGCAGCCACTCGATGTGTCCCTTTTTTTTTTTTCTTCAAATCTTTATTGTTGGATGTAAAATGTATTACAGATGTTCCACATTTTTCCCCCATTGACCCCCTCCTCCCCACTCCCGCCCCCCTCTCACCTTTTCGCACACTATTGTCTGTGTCCATTGGTTATGCATATAAGTTCTTTGGTTTATTTCTTCCCACCCCCCCAACCCCTTTCCCTTTGAGGTTTGTCAGTCTAGCAATGAATTTGTACTTCTTAATCCCTTCACCTTTTTCACCCATTCCCTCAACCTCCTCCCAACTGGCAACCAACAAAATGTTCTCTGTATCTATGAGAATGTTTCTGTTCTACCTGTTCATTTTGTTTGTAGATTCCATTGTCGATAGATATGTATTCATTGCCATTTTGTTTGTTCATACATTTTATCTTTTTCTTCAAAAAGACCCTTCATCATTTCATATAATAATGGTTTGGTAGTGATGAACTCTTTTAACTTTTTCTTGTCTGGGAAAGTTTTTATATGTCCATCGATTCTAAATGACAGCTTTGCAGGATAGAGTAATTTTGGTTGTAGGTTCTTGGTTTAAATCACTCTGAATATTTCTTGCCACTCCCTTCTGGCCTGCAAAGTTTCTTTTGAGAAATCAGCTGACAGCCTAATGGGAACTCCCTTGTAGGTAACTAGCTGCCTTTCTCTTGCTGCTTTTAAGATTCTTTGTCTTGAACCTTTTGCATTTTGATGATGATGTGTCTTGGTGTGGGCCTCTTGGAGTTCATCTTGTTTGGGACTCTCTGTGCTTCCTGGAATTGTATGTCTGTTGCTCCACCAAGTTAGGAAAGTTTTCTGCCATTATTGTTTCAAATAGGTTTTCGATTTTTTGTTCTCGCTCTTCTCCTTCTGGCACCCCCAAGATGCGAATGTTGGCACGCTTGAAGTTGTCCCAGAGGCTCCTTACACTATCCTCATTTTTTTGGATTCTTTTTTCTTTTTGCTGTTCTGATTGGGCATTTTTTGCTTCCTTACATTCCAAATCGATGGTTTGCTCCTTGGTTTTACGTACTCTATTATTGAAGCTGTGTAAATTATTCTCTATTTCAGTTAATGCCTCCTTCAATTCTAACTGTGTATCCATCATTTCTTTTTTTTTTTTTTTTTTTTATCCTCACCCGAGGACATTTTTCCATTTTTTATACAGATAGAGTGGGAGGGAGACAGAGGAAGGGAGAGAGAGAGAAAGAAACATCGACGTGAAGGGACACATCGAGTGGCTGCCACCCGCACGACCAACCAGGGCCGGGGACAAACTGCAACCGAAGTACGTGCCCTTAACGGGAACCGAACCCGGGTCTCTCAGGACCGCAGGCCGACGCTCTAACCGCTGAGCCAAACCGGCCAGGGCTGTATCCATCATTTCTTTTTTTTTTTTTTTTATCCTCACCCGAGGATATTTTTTCATTTTTTTGTACAGATAGATTGGGAGGGAGAGAGAGGAAGGGAGAGAGAGAGAAACATCGACGTGAAGGGACACATCGAGTGGCCGCCACCCGCACGACCAACCAGGGCCGGGGACAAACTGCAACCGAAGTACGTGCCCTTAGCGGGAACCGAACCCGGGTCTCTGCGGACCGCAGGCCGACGCTCTAACCGCTGAGCCAAACTGTCCAGGGCTGTATCCATCATTTCTAACTGGTCCTTATTTATGCTCTTGAGGCCCTCCCTAAGTTCACTGAGGTTCTCACTAAGTTCATTGAGCATCCTTATAAGCAGTATTTTGAACTCAGCATCTGTTAGGTTGCTTATTTCCATTTTGCTTAGTTCTTTTATTGGGGTTTTGTTCTGTTCTTTCATTTGGGACATGTTTCTTTGTCTCCTCATTTTGACTGCCTCCTTGTGTTTGTTTCAGTGTATTACTTAATGAGAGGTATAGGGTTGGTGAGACCAGATGCTGCTCGTTTGAAAGAATTTAGGAAAAACCTGAAGCAGGATCCAAGACTGGCCAATCCTATGGTTAAGCAAGTGGCAACAGCTTGGGTGGGCTTGAAAGTTGGGTTGGGTGGTGCGGGGCGGGGCCTCAGGGAGTCAACAGGGCGGGGCTACCAGTGTGAGCCAGGTTGCTGGAGTCCCAGATATGGCGTCTGTCTGCCGCCCCCGGGAAGGGCTCACCAAAGGAACAAAGGCCTCTTACAGCACGTTTGTCTCCGAGAAAGCCCCCTCTCCAGCCCTCACTCCAGTGCCAAACAGCTCAGTTCTTCCCTGTATGTCTCTGGTGCCCCTCAAGCTGCCTCCCCTCCAAGCTTAGAGGGAGAAAGTCCGATAAGTCCGTGCGTGGGCCCTTTAGGGAGCTGCCTGGGGCTCCAGCCGCGTCAGCCTCCCTGAGCCTCATGAGGTTCCTGCTGGTTTTTCCAGGCAGAAATTATGGGGACTTCTCTTCCTGGCACTGGAACCCTGAGCGGGGCACCTGGTGTGGGACGGGGACCCCTCAGTCCTCAGGAAGAACCTTCCCAGCCATGGGAGCCTCCTGATTTTTATCCGCCACCCGTGGGTGTGGGACCAGCCCCTCGCGCCGCTGCCCCTCCTACCAGTCTGGATGTGGCTGCTGCTTTAATTTCGTAGTTGTAGGACTTCCATTCAGCTTGATTTCAGGCGGTTTTGAATGATGGTTGTTCTGTAGTTTAGTTGTAACTTTGATGTGGTTGTGGGAGGACGCGATACCGTGTTTACCTACTCCACCATCTTGACCGGAAGTCGTCGATGTGTCCCTTTCACGTTGATGTTTCTCTCTCTCTTCCTCTCTCTCCCTCCCACTCTATCTGAACAAAAAAATGGAAAAGTGTCCTCGGGTGAGGATAAAAAAAATAAAAAAAAATAAATAAATAAAGATGAAAAAAATAATTTTAAATATTATTCCATTGTCATCTAGCTTCCCTCAATATTGAGAAGTTAGTGCCATTCTTATTCTTGGTTCTTTGTGATATCCCTCCTCCTTCCCCGTAAGCTTTTAGGATCTTCTCTTATCTCAGTTATCTCAAGTTTTACGAAATTTTGTGATAATATGCCTAGGCTTGGGTCTTTTTTCATTTTTTAATCCTCAACTGAGGACATTGATTCCATTTTTTGTTCAGTAGAGTGGGAGGGGGAGAGAGAGAGAGAGAGAGAGAGAAAGAGAGAGAGAGAAACACCGACGACATGAAAGGGACACATTGAGTGGTTGCCACCCGCACGACCCAACGAGGGCCAGGGACAAACTGCAACCGAGGTATGTGCCCTTAGTGGGAACTAAACCCGGGTGTCTCGGGACCGCAGGCCGACGCTCTAACCGCTGAGCCAAACTGGCCAGGGCTTGAGAAACTTTCTTGTATCATTTCTCTCTTCATTTTATCTGCTACCACCTCCCCTCCACCATCTATTGGATATTGGACTTCCAAGATGGCTTCTCTGGACAAATTGCCTTTTTTGCCTATTTTTTTGTTTATTTCTTTTAGTTGTTCTTTCTAAATTTCCTTAATACTTTCAAATTATTAAAATTTTTCTGTTATTGAGTTCTTCCTTCTTTTGTTTAATAAAAATATAACTGAGTACTAGTATATTTAGTGGCCAGTGGGAATTATTTGTTATTAGGTTACACTGCTTGACTTCTGATATCAGGTCATTTGTTATTAAATTGGGAAGCCATACATATATCTTGTGATTATCCCACATTCAGACTCTTTAGTCAATATCTAATATAGCAAAGATTATGTGCTGTTTGGTAAACTATGAAATGAATTGGAAGGAAAGTATATATTGCAGAGAATTCAATACCAACTTTTGTGAGGTGCCTTTGCTATGGATTATGTAAAGTAACAGAATCTTTTTGGTCTAATTTCATAGGATGGTTTTTCAGGATTGTCACCATATGAAAGGAAGAGACTGAAGAATATAGCAGAAAATGCAAACTTTTTTGCTTCGCTTCAGTTGTCTGAGGTTTGTGTGGAGTTTCTAATTAAAACCAAGATGCCATTCCTCTTGCCAGTAGGTCAATAAAATACTGAGTATCAGGTTTCATAGTGTCAGGTGAGGGAGCGTAAATGAGAAGCAAGTTTTGCATTTAATAGAAAGAGGTTACCATATTTTATTGATTCCAAGACTTTGTTTTGTTTTAACATTTTTGAAATCAGCATCTTAAAACTATAACTAGTACCTCCTCCCCTCCCCTTTGTTGGTGGTACATAAAGAAATGATGTTTTATGAAAGGTTGTCTTGGATTCAAAGAAATGGTACATTCTAAGTGGTTTCTTTAACTAAAAGATAAAGAAGTGGGAGTGTTGGATTAAAGGATGTGTGATAGACGAAGGAGAAGATATGCTTTTTAAAAAGAACTCTCAGACTTTAAGAATAGATGGGAACTCTCAGACTTTAAGAAGGATAAATCTTAACACTCCCTATACAAGATCTATGCTAATGTTTTATAATCATTGTAATTAAATGTATAATTTACATTGGTGTCTACACTGCGGGGTAAACTTCTGTGTATGAGAGAATATCTGTTTAGGAGGGTGTGTGATGTTTCCCCCAAAAAGACATCAAACCCTTGGCTTTATTAAGTAATTGAATTCTCCAAATACCAGATTCCCAAATATTCAGTGTGTGTTTGCATCTTGAGGGGAGGGAGGGTGAGTTAATATAATTTTATGTAACTAATTTATATGCATATGTCATTAATGAAAATTCATCAGAAATTTAGACAGACTATCTCTAATTTTGATTTTAGTAACAGAAACCATAGTTTGATTTATTAATATAAGTATAACATAACTTTTCTAGAAAAATCAAAGTATGACTGCCTTGGTAGAAGTTAGACCTTTTAATTTGTAATAGTATATTTGATTAAATGTTTAATATTTAATCATGTAAACTCATTAGCAACCTGGTTCCAGGCATCAGAATATCAGTACTTTAGACAGTATTATATACTTGCTTTTATTATGGACAGTATATCTGTCTCATGTCTACCACCAAGAGCAAGTATCGTGTTTTAAGGGTCTTTATTTCCTGTATAGATCTTAGTTTATGTGTATATAGTAGTAGATACTTAATATTTTAAGAGGTAAGCTATGTAGTTATATTATTTTTATGTGTATATGTTTTATGTATTTTGCAGTCAGCTGCAAGGTTCCGTGAAATGGTAAAGAAGAGACAGCCTTCTGAATCTAAAAGGTAAAAGATATGATTTACAGTGTCTGCTCCATGATATTGCTGAGTTGTTTTATAATTTGAAAAAATAATTCAGTATAGTAAAATAAGTAATAGAAACTATGTAATTTAATCTTAATCCTTATAGAATTTCTGAGAGAATGCTGCCTGTTAATAACTAAAGCTCTCATCTTCATCAAAAGAATATAGAGGAAATAGAATCTTGAGAGCTGAATTTTATTTATATTTAATACTGTTGCTGTTAATACAAGGAATCTTTATTTTCATTAAATTATTCTTATTTTTGCCTAGAAAACTATTCTTTTTTCCCTTTTTTATAGAATTTATTGGGGTGACATTGGTTAATAAATTTATATAGGTTTCAGGTATACAGTTCTATAATACATCATCTGTATATTGTATTGTGTGTTCACCACCCCAAGTCAAGTCTCTTTTCATCTTCATTTATCCCTTTTATATTCTCATCTCCTTCCCCTCACTGAAAATTGTTATTTTTTTTTGTTGTTGTTGTTAATCCTCACCCAAGGATATATTTTCCATTGATTTTTAGAGAGAGTGTGGGGGGGGAGATAGACATTGATGTGAGAGAGACACATCGATTGGTACATCAATTGGTTGCCTTCCACATGCACCTTGACCTGGACTGGGGATCAAACCTGCAACCCAGGTACATGCCCTTGACTGGGAATCAAAGCCATGACCCTTTGGTTCGTGGGCTGACACTCTAACTATTGAGCCAAACCGGCCAGAGCTCTTCTACTTTCTTTTAATTTTTCTGTTTTTTTGCGTCTCAATATGTGTTTTCTTTTCCATTCCTAGCATAAAGGAAGGAAATGAACATTTATTGAACATCTGTAAGATACAGTGTGGTGACCTGAACATTTTGTCCTATTTTATCTCATTTAATTCTGATAATAACCAAATGTGGAGGTAATATACCCGTTTTGTGAGATAGAGAACAGGCTCAAAGGGATAAAGTAATTTGCTTAAGGTCAAAATAGCTTAGAATGCTCTGGCCGGTTTGGCTTAGCAGTTAGAGCGTCAGCCCATGGACCAGTGAGTCATGAGTTCGAGTCCAGTCAAAGGCACGTACTCAGTTGTGGTTTGTCGCTGGCCCTGGTTGGGTTGTGCGGGAGGCAACCAGTCAGTGTGTCTCTATCACATTGATGTTTCTCTCTGTCTTTCTCTCTCTCCCTCCCTCCCTCCCACTCTATCTAATGATAAATAGAAAAGTATCTTCGGGTGAGGATAGGGAAAAAAAAAAAAAGCTCAGAAGTGGAAGCTTCAGGATTTGAACTCCAGGATTCCTTGGTTTAAGTTCTATCTACTGCATTTTAGCAGTATTTATGTATAAATGAAGAAACTAGAAATTTTGGCATCATTAGATCATTTGTTTAGTGCTAATGGTAATGAAATGTAGCATTATTTTAATTGGTTTGATTTTTTTTTTATCCTCACCTGAGGGCATTTTTGCATTTATCTTCAGATAGAGCGGGAGGGAGAGAGGGAGGAAGAGAGAGAGAAACATCGATGTGAGAGAGACAAATCGAGTGGTTGCCACTCACATGACCCCAACCAGGACTGGGGACAAACTGCAACTGAGGTGCATGCCCTTAGCGGAAATCGAACCTGGGCCTCTCTGGTCCACGGGCTGACTCTCTAACCGCTGAGCCAAACCGGCCAGGGCTAATTGGTTTGATTAAGTTTGATTAATTGGTTTTTTAAGTTTATTGATTTTAGAGAGAGGTAGTGATGGTTGGGGGAGGGAGAAATATCGATTTGTTGTTCCACTTATTTATGCATTTGTTGGTTGCTTCTTGTATGTGCCCTGACCAAGGATTGAACCCCAATCTTGGCTTATCAGAATGATGCTCTAACCAACCGAGCTGCCGTTCCAGGGCGTTGGTTTGATTTTAATACTGGTTAGTTAGCTTGAGTAAAGCTAAACTTAATCATAGCCATATATTTGGGAGTGTGAAATGTTATAAGAAAAACATCCGTAAGCCTGCAAAATAATAGTACCGGTTATGTTGTCAGCTGATTAAATAGCTTTACATCTGGATATTTTTTATTAGCAAAGATTGGTGATTTGTTCCCAATTTCCTGGTTAGGTGACTTTGTCATTGTTGTGTGAACATCATAGAGTGCACTTTTGCAAATCTAGGTGGTAGAGCCTACTACTGCAATTGTGTGTGGTATACTTTTTTTTTTTTTTAATCCTCACCGGAGGACATTTTTCCATTTTTTTGTTCAGGTAGAGTGGGAGGGAGAGAGAGGAACAGAGAGAGAGAGAGAAACATCGATGTGAAAGGGACACATTGAGTGGCTGCCACCCGCACAACCGACCAGGGCCGGGGACAAACTGCAACCGAGGTACGCGCCCCCAGCGGGAACCGAACCTGGGTCTCTCAGGACCACAGGCCGACGCTCTAACCGCTGAGCCAAACCGGCCAGGGCTGTGTGGTATACTTTTATACCACTAGCAGCACAGTAGGTTTGTTCACACCAGCACCACCACAAACCCATAATTGTTGTATAAGCCCTGACAGTAGGCTTTTCTCTCTCTTTTTAATCCTCACCTAAGGATATTTTTGTATTTATCTTCAGATAGAGTGGGAGGGGGAGAGAGAGAGAAACATTGATGCAACAGAGACACATCTGCTGGCTGCCTCCCACATGTCCCTGTCAGGTTCGAACCACAACTGTGGTATGTGCCCTTGATGGGAACCGAACCTGCCACTCATTGGTCCGCGGGCCGACGCTCTAACCGCTGAGCCAAACCGGCCAGGGCAGGAAGCCACTTTTAATAATTCCATGTATATTCTCATAGGTAATCTCAGCATGCACAAATGTATGTGTATATGTAACCTTTTTGTAAAAAAATAAATAGAAGCATATTTATCATGCACTGGACCTTGTTTTTGCTTTTTATGAGTTCATTTCATATCAATGTACAATCTTTCATTCTTTTTTATGGCTGCAAATTATTCTATTAGATATGTATGTAAGCCCTGGCCGGTTTGGCTCAGCGGTTAGAGTGTCGGCCTGCGGTCCGGAAAGACCTGGGTTCGGTTCCCGCTAAGGGCATGTACCTTGGTTGCAGTTTGTCCCCGGCCCTGGTTGGTCGTGCGGGTGGCAGCCACTCGATGTGTCCCTTTCACTTCGATGTTTCCCTCTCTCTCTCTTCCTCTCTCTCCCTCCCACTCTGTCTGTACAAAAAATGGAAAAATGTCCTCGGGTGAGGATACAAAAAAAAAAAAAAAAAGATATGTATGTAATGATTTAATACCCCTTATCTCACTATAGTGAACATTTATGATGTTTTCCGGGTTTTAATTAAAATCAGTATAGCCATGAACATACAGCTTTGCAATATATGACTGTATCCATGAGATACGTTCCTAGAAGTTATTTCCTTAATATTAGTAAATACATGTAACTTTTATGAATATAACATGCGTCTTTTCCCACTTCTTTAGAAAGAAGCCTAAGAAGAGAGAAAATGGAACTGAATTGAGAAGGTCAATGCGATTACTAAATGTAGATCCTTCAGGAGTTTCGTTACCAGAAACCCCAATCCAGCCAACAGTAGTTGTGGATGAAAATGTAAGAAAGTGCAAATACAATATATTAACTCAATAAAATGCTGAAAAATTTGAAGTATTTGAAACTAGAAGAAAAGGTCATTAAATTATGTTTAGTTTGTACTTTATTAATTTAATGCTTCACTGTTGTATGGTTTAGTACAGTGATTTTTCAACTGGTGTGCCATAAGAATTTTTAAAACATGAAGTACCTGACTGACAAGGGGCACTGACCTCCCTTACCCTTAGATTGTCAAATAAAAGCATGACAACAGCCAACACAACAATAGCTGTCTGATGTGGATGAATCAGAATTATACCAATTTTTTTTGTCAGATCAGCAAAAATATATATATTTTTTGGTGTGCTGCAGAATTTTAGTAATTAGTTTATGTTTGCCATGAGATTAAAAAGATTGAAAATCTCTGGTTTAATGACTAAGATTTCTAAGTAATTGAGACTGGGCTGGATTCTATATTTCTGCAGGTTTACCTGCTATGGGATTATAGGTAAATTACTTAACCTTTCTGAATCCTGATATCCTCCCTTTCCTTTTTTTTGTTAATCCTCACCTGAGGATGTTTTTATATTGATTTTTAGAGTGGAACGGAGGGAGGGGATGAGAGAGAAAGAAACATCAGTGTGAGAGAGTCACATTGATTGGTTGCCTCCTGCATGTGCCCTGACTGGGGCTGGGATCAAACTTGCAACCCAGGTACATGCCCTTGACTGGGAATTGAACCCATTTCCCTTTGGTGCACAGGCCAACACTCTAACCACTGAACCACACAGGCCAGGGTTCCCCCATTTTTTTAAATGGCAACAATAATAGAAACAAGGTATTGCAAGGGTTAAATGAAATAGTTTCTATAAAGATCCTTACATTAAGGGCTTAGTAAGTAATCAATAAATGGTAGTTATTAATTAATGTTAACAATAAATATGTGTTAATAGTGATGGAGTTTTTTGCTATAGTTTTATATTCTCAGTGGGTGGAAAGAATCTTATTTACCAAATTTTTTGTCTAAACAAGATTTTAATCTTTAATTTTAGTCTAAATAATTATATATTTTTATTCAAGAGCACGTACTGTTTTTAATACTTTATATCTAAGTGCTTAATTATAAATTGGAAGATAGCACTAATTAGGCTGGTGCTCTGGAAGCTAATTGCAACTTAAGGTGCAATGGGAAGAGTAGCTTTCAAATTTTTTTGAAGCCTCCAGCTCATTATACATACACATACAGTTAAAACAAAACTTGTAAAATGATACCTTACTACGTGATGCACTTTTGTTATTTTTTATTCTATTTTCTTATTCACTAAAACACATTGCTGATTGTGACAAAGTGATTTCATGACCCATGGGTGACAACCTCTGGTTTAAAAAAGACTGGCATAAAATAATAACTTTGATTAATGAAACTGAACTATCTGAATCAACTCTCAGCAACACCAGTTATTGGCAGTGGAAGTTTGGATAAGTTAACTTCTCTAAGTTTCAGTCTAGTGTTGTTAAAATGTGGTATCTCATTTACTGGATCGCTGGAAGGATCAAATGAGATAATACATTTTATTACTTACAGGATACATGACATTTCATTCATTGAACAACTATTTTTGAATGCTAATGATGTGTCACCCCTTTTGTTGGCATTGAAAGTAAAGTAGTGAAAAACCTCAAGCCTACATTCTAGGGCAGGGCGACAATCAACTCTTTTATGCTTTTTTTCTTCTTCTTTTTTTTTATAACAGCCTTTGTTACCTCCTGGGCCTTTAGAAATGACCCCTGAAAATCGAGATAGCAGTGAACTATTTAAAGGATTTCTGCAGACTTGGGAGGAAGTGAGCAAGGTATCAGTTGGGAAGACTTATATAAAATTTTAGAATCATCTGTTAATGAAGATTCAGTATGTATATTAACTTAGTAATTTGATCTCCCATTGTTTCAGACAAGTAGTAAGAATACTGAGAAGGAGTTATCTAGCATTAAAAGGTGAGTTAAAATTCCTTGCCTTTATTTACATTTTCTGCGATCTTTAAATTATAAAGACTATAAACAGGAAATTTTGAAAATGATGTGAAAATTTTACCCATAATATTTCCACCCTAACAATTGTTGTTTTTGTGTATTTCCCAGGATATAAACTTTATGAATGCAGGGGTTTTGTCTCAATCCCCAGAACAGTTCAGGCAAATAGTATATATCCATTCACTGTTTAATGAATGAATGAATGAATCCACAAATTTTATAACTCAATGTTCTTTTTTTATTGATTTGTTGGGGTGATACTGGTTTGTTATGTTCTAATGTTTATGTAATTTTGCATTATGCTTTTTCATTAACATTATGGTTAAATGTTACTAGAGTCTTTATTTATTTTTTAATCCTAATCTGAGGATCTTTTTCTATTTCAGAGTGGGAGGGAGGGAGGGAGGAAGAGAGAGAAAGAGAGAGAGAAACAACAATGTGAGAGAGACACATCGATTGGTTGCTTCCCGCATGACCCCAACCAGGGCTTGGACTGAACTGCAACCAAGGTACATGCCCTTGACCAGAATCGAATCTGCGACTCATTGGTCTGTAGGCCGATGCTCTAACTGCTGAGCCAAACTGGCCAGGGCTAGAGTCTTTAAATGTATTCAATATTTACATAATATTTTATTGAGTAAGTAGAATTTACTTAACCTCTTCTCACCCCCTTGGTATTTGGAATTGTTTTCTGTTTAGTTTTGTGTGTTTATATGTGTACATGTGTTTGTTGGAGTATATATGTATGATAATAGATTATTTCCTTAGGATAGATTTCAGAAGTGAGATTAATGAGTCAGATAACCTAGATATATTTATGGCTGTTTGTACACATTGCTGTATTGTTTTTCAAAATTGTTCTTTTTTCCTTTATTTATTTTAGAGAGAGAGGTAGGGAGAGGGAGAGAGAGATAGAAACATTGATGAGAGAGAACATCAAATGGCCGCCTCCTGCATGCCCCCTGGGGACTAGGCCTGCAACCTGGGCATGTGCCCTGACCAGGAATTGAACCAGCGACCTCTTGGTGCATGGGTTGATGCTCAAGCACTGAGCCACACCTGCCGGGCCACAATCTTGTTTTTTTCTTCTGAAAATATTATATGAATTTACTCTGCCAGTAGCAGTATATACGAATGTATATGTTGTTTTTTTTTTTCCCCACAAATTTAAAAAAAAAATATTTTTTCTTTATTGATGTTAGAAAGAGGAAGGGAGAGGGAAAGAGAGATAGAAACTTCAATGAGAGAGAACATCGACTGGCTGACTCTTGCATGCCCCCCACTGGGGATTTGTCCCACAACCTGGGCATATGTACTGATCGGGAATTGAACCGGCAGCTACCTAGTGTATGGGTCAATGCTAAACCAGTAAGCCACACCAGCCGGGCCGTATATATATATTTTTTTATTAACTTTTAGAGAGAGAGAATGGGAGAGGGAGAGAGAGATAGAAACATCGATAGGAGAGAAACATCAATCAGCTGCTTCCTGCATGCCCTACAATGGGGATTGAGCCCACAACCCGGGCATGTACTCTGCCTGGGAATCGAACTGGCAACCTCTTGGTGCATGGGTTGATGCTTAACCACTGAGCCATACCAGCTGGGCTGAACGTACATGTTTAACTGTAGCCTATTAGCTTTTATTTTTATTTTTTTTATTTATTTATTTTTAATATTTTTTTTCTTTATTGATTTTTAGGGAGAGAGGAAGGGAGAGGAGAAAGAGATAGAATCATTGCTGAGAGAGAATATCAATTGGCTGCCTCCTGCATGCCCCCCACTGGGGATTGGGCCCACAACCTAGGCATGTGCCCTGACTGGGAATCGAACCGGTGACCTCTTGGTGCATGGATCAACACTCAACCACTGAGCTATACCAGCCGGGCTGCCTATTAGCTTTTAGAAAGTTATTTTTTAAAATATATTTTTCCTGCCTGGCCGGTGTGGCTCAGTGGTTGAGCATCAACCCATGTACCAAGAGGTCGCCGGTTTGATTCCCGGTTGGGGCACATGCCCAGGTTGTGGGCCTGATCCCCAGTTGGGGGCATGTAGGAGGGGGGCCAATCAATGTTCTCTGTCATCGATATTTCTATCTCTCTTTATCCCTTCCTTTCTCTAAAATCAATAAAAAGAAAAAAATAAATACATAAAATATATTTTTATTGATTTTTAGAGAGAGAAGAAGGGGGAGAGAGAGAAACATCGATGAGAGAGAACATCGACTGGTCACCTTTTGTATGTCCCCCACTGGGGATCAGGCCCACAACCTGGGTATGTGTCCTGACCAGGAATCGAAACAGCGACCTCTGAGTGCATGGGTCGACGTTCAACTACTGAGTCACACTGGCCGGGCCTCCTACTAGCTTTTATAAGTGAAAAATAGTACCTCATTATTTACTTTGATTTCTTTGCTTGTCAGAAGGTTGAATATTTTCCCACATTTATTTACTAATTGTGGTTTTTCTTATTTGAGTCATATTTTACTTATTTTGTCAATTAAAATTGGTTTTACTCCTAAAATTTAACTTTTTATTTTCTCAGCTATAAAGCCAAGTTAGATGGCATGGTCATTAGTGAAGATACTGTTTGTAAAGTTACCAAAGGTTCGATATTATCTATGGCTCTTCATCCATCAGAAAGTAGAACTTTGGTGGCAGCTGGGGCCAAATCTGGGCAAGTTGGACTTTGGGATTTGGTAAGTTATTAATTTTTTGAAGCTATTAAAGTTTGACTGAAGCAAATAGTCTGCAAGAAAATAGCCTAGAGCCATGTGTTTATAGATGTTACTTATTTATAGTTTTGTGCTTTGTGATTCTAAATTTTAGAAATCTGGAGGAATTTAAATTTGCTTTATAGAACTTTAACATTTTTGCTTGAATGTTGTAGTCATCTGATCATAAATTAACTGCCAAGAAACTTTATTAAAACTTTAAATGTAGCCCTGGCCGGTTTGGCTCAGCGGTTAGAGCGTCCGCCTGCGGTCCGGAGAGACCCGGGTTCGGTTCCCGCTAAGGGCATGTACCTCGGTTGCAGTTTGTCCCCGGCCCTGGTTGGTCGTGTGGGTGGTGGCCACTCGATGTGTCCCTTTCACATCGATGTTTCCCTCTCTCTCTCTTCCTCTCTCTCCCTCCCACTCTGTACAAAAACAAACAAACAAAAACTTTAAATGTATATATGAAAGATCACACAGAGTTCTTATTTTTCTAATTATGTTTAAAATATGGTTTCTCAGACTCATAGATACAGAGAACGTTTGACGGTTGCCAGGTGGGAGGTGGGTTGAGGGGATGGGTGACAAAAGGAAAGGGATTAAGAAGTGCAAATTGTCCTCGCTGATGTGGCTTAGTTGGTTGGCATCCATTGTGCACCAAAAGGTGGTTGGTTTGATTCTGGTCAGGGCACATGTCTGGGTTTCGGGCTTGATCCCCAGTACAGGGCATGCAGGGGCAGCCGATCATGTTCTTCTTTCTCATGTTCACACATCATGTTTTTCTTTCTCCCTCTCTCTCTCTCTCTCTCTCTCTCTCTCTCTCTAAAAATCAATAATTAAAAAAAAAAAAGTACAAGTTGGTTGTTACAGAATAGTCTTGAGGATGTGAAGTGCAGCATAGGGAGTATAGTAAAAAAATATTCTAGCCCTGGCTGGTGTGGTGCATTGGTTAGAGCTGCGACCCGCAGACCAGAGTCATGGGTTCAATTCTGGTCAAGGGTATGTGCCTTGGTTGCAGTTCATCCCTGGCCTTGATCGGGGTCATTCGGGAGGCAACCAGTTGATGTGTCTTTCTCTGGACGACAGCCGACGCCCTAACCACTGAGCCAAACCGGCCAGGGCGATGTGTCTTTTTTTTTAAAGTGGTTATTTTTTTTTATTTTTTTTTTTATCCTCACCCGAGGATATTTTTCCATTTTTTGTACAGATAGAGTGGGAGGGAGAGAGAGAGAGAAACATCGACGTGAAGGGACACATCGAGTGGCTGCCACCCGCACGACCAACCAGGGCCGGGGACAAGCTGCAACCGAAGTACGTGCCCTTAGCGGGAACCGAACCCGGGTCTCTCCGGACCGCAGGCCGACGCTCTAACCGCTGAGCCAAACTGGCCAGGGCGGGCGATGTGTCTTTATCACGTCAATGTTTCTCTCTCTGTCCTTCTCTCCCATTTTATTTGACGAGAAATAGAAAAATATCCTACAGTGATGATTTAAAAATATATTTTCTAATAACTATGTGTGGTGTAAGATGAGTGCGATATTTATTAGGATGGTCACTTAGTAATGTAATGTCTAATCACAGATGTACACCTGAAACTAATACTAAAATAATAACGTATGTCAAGTATAATTGAAAAATAAAATTAAAAAAAATTTTTTTATTTTTATTGTTGAATCTATTACAGATGTTCCTCATTTCCCCCCCACTAACCCCCTCCTCTCCACTCCTGCCCCCCTGCTGCCTTTTCCCACACTGTTGTCTGTGTCCATTGGTTATGCATATATACATATAAGTTCTTTGGTTTATTTCTTCCCACCCCCCAACCCCGCTTCCCTTTGAGATTTGTCAGTCTAGCAGCCAATTTGTACTTCTTAATCCCTTCACCTTTTTCACCCATTCCCCCGACTTCCCTCCCATCTGGCAACCAACAAAATGTTCTCTATATCTATGAGAATGTTTCTCTTCTGCTTGTTCATTTTATTTGTAGATTCAATTGTCGATAGATATGTATTCATTGCCATTTTGTTTGTTCATATTTTTTATCTTTTTCTTCAAAAAGACCCTTCAACATTTTATATAATAATGGTTTGCTGGTGATGAATTCCTTTAGCTTTTCCTTGTCTGGGAAACTATATGGCCATCGATTCTAAATGACAGCTTTGCAGGATAGAGTAATCTTGGTTGTAGGTTCTTGCTTTTCATCACTCTGCATATTTCTTGCCACTCCCTTCTGGCCTGCAAGGTTTCTTTTGAGAAATCAGCTAACAGTCTTATGGGAACTTCCTTGTAGGTAACTAACTGCTTTTCTCTTGCTGCTTTTAAGATTCTCTCTTTGTTTTGAACCTTTTGCATTTTGATGATGATGTGTCTTGGTGTGGGCCTCTTGGGGTTCACCTTGTTTGGGACTCTCTGTGCTTCCTGGACTTGTATGTCTGTTTCCTTCATCAAGTTAGGGAAGTTTTCTGCCATTATTGTTTCAAATAAGTTTTCGATTTCTTCTTGTTCTCTCAGTTCTCCTTCTGGCACCCCCAAGATGCGAATGTTGGCACACTTGAAGTTGTCCCAGAGGCTCCTTACACTGTCCTCATTTTTTTGAATTCTTTTTTCTTTTTGCTGTTCGGATTGGATGTTTTTTGCTTCTTTATATTTCAAATCAACAGTTTGCTTCTTGGCTTTACCTACTCTACTATTGAATCTGTGTAAATTATTCTTTATTTCAGTTAGTGCCTCCTTCATTTCTGACTGGTCCTTTTTTATTCTCTTGAGGCCCTCTCTAAGTTCATTGAAGTTCTCACTAAGTTCATTGTGCATCTTTATAAGGAGTGTTTTGAACTCAGCATCTATTAGGTTGCTTATCTCCATTTCACTTAGTTCTTTTCCTGGAGTTTTGTTCTGTTCTTTCATTTGGGACCTGTTTCTTTGTATCCTCATTTTGGCTACCTCCTTGTGTTTATTTCTATGGGTTAGACCAGATGCTGCCTGTTTGAAAGAATTTAAGAAAACCTGAAGCAGGATCCAAGACAGGCCAATCCTATGGTAAAGCAACTGGCAACAGCTTGGGTGGGCCTGAAAGTTGGGTGGGGCAGGGCCTCAGGGAATCACCAGGGCAGGGCAACCAGTGTGAGCCAAGTTGCTGGAGTCCAGATATGGCGACTGTCTGCTGCCCCAGGGAAGGGCTCACCAAAAGGAACAAAGGCCTTTGACAGCACCTCTGTCAAGGAGAAAGCTGCCTTTCCACCCCTCGCTCCAAAGCCAAACAACTCAGTTCTTCTCCTGTATGTCTCTGGTGCCTTTTGTACTGCCTCCCCCACGCTGGAGCCTGGAGCTTTTGAGTCCCAGTAAGTTCATGCGCAGGCCCTTTAAGAGGAGCTGCCTGGGGCTCCAGCTGCTTCAGCCTTCCTGAGCCTTAGTTCCTGCTGGTTTTTCCAGTCAGAAGTTATGGGGACTTCTCTTCCTGGCACTGGAACCCTGAGCGGGGCACCTGGTGTGGGACGGGGACCCCTCAGTCCTCAGGGTGGACCTTCTCAGCTGAGGTGTCTCCTGATTTTTATCCGCCACACATGGGTGTGAGACCGCTCAGTCCACGCCTCTGCCCCTCCTACCAGTCTCATGTGACTGCTTCATTAATTTCATAGTTGTAGGACTTCCATTCAGCTTGATTTCAGGCAGCTTTGAGTGATGGTTGTTTTGTAGTTTAGTTGTAACTTTGATGTGGTTGTGGGAGGATGCGCTTACCTACACCACCATCTTGACCGGAAGTCTCAAAAAATAAAATGATTTAAAAATGAAAAAAAAAAATACAGTTTCTGTGCTGGATCAAAATATCTTCCCAGGGATCTACTTAGGATGATCCCAGTAATTTTTTCAATCAGAAACAGATGCTGAATTCCATTTATTGTGTATGTAATTCTGCACTGATTGCTTTCAGTGGTTACATAATGGAGAAAAGCCAAGTTAATGTTCTCTGAATTTATTTTGTAATTGGGGAAGTAGAACAAAGCCCTGAAAATGCCATAAGGGGACGGTTAATGAAGATGAAGAAACTATGGTTACTTGAAGCTGGTTGGGGTTAATAAGCAAATTTTATAAGTGAGAAGAAAAATAGCCAAATTCTCTTTTATTTTAAGAGCATAGGTTCTCTCTTATTTATTTATTAAAAAAATTTTTTTTCTTTATTGATTTTAGAGAGGGGAAATGAGAGGGAGAGAGGTAGAAACATCCATGAGAGAGCATCAATTGGTCACCTCCTGCATGCCCCACACTGGGATCAGGCCCACAACCTGGGCATGTGTCCTGACCGGTAATCAAACTGGCGACCTCTTGGTGCATGGGTCGATGCTCAACCACTGAGCCACACGGACCAGATGGTTCTTCCTTATTTTGGTCAGACATGAGTGAGGGTAGTTGGTGAAAGGATTTGGTAAAGAAAATCGAAGCAGAGATGTGGGAAGAGGACCAAAAAAGGTATAAGTTGGTAGAAGCTGAAAGATGATTTTTTAATTTTTAAGGGTTTTAAAAATTATTTTATTTATTGATTGATTGTTAATCCTTACTTGAGGAAAATTTTCCATTGTTTTTATTTTACTTTTATTAACTTATTTTTGTTACAGATGTTTCTCCTTTTACCCCCATTGACACCCTCTTCCCCATTTCCCCCCACCCGCACCCCATTCCCAGCTTTGTTGTCTATGTTCATTGGTTATGCATATATGCATATAAGTTCTGTGGTTTATCTCTTCCCTCCCCTGCCTTCTTCTGAGGTTTGTCAGTTTGTACCCTACTTCTATGTCTCTGGGTTTCCATTGATTTTTAGATAGAGTGGAAGGGAGGGAAGGAGCAGGGAGGGAGGGGGGGGGTGAGAGAGAGAGGCAAAAAGAGAAACATCGATGTGAGAGAATTGCATCCATTGGTTGCCTCCCTCATGACCCCAACCAGTGCTGGGATCAAACTTGCAATCCAGGTGCGTGCCCTTCCCTCGACTCTTCTATTCTCAGGCTGATGCTCTAACTGCTGAGCCAAACTGGCCAGGAAGAAATTATTATTTTATTGATTTTAGAAAGAGGAAGGGAGAGAGGGAGAGAAACATCGCGTGTGCACTAACTGGGGATCAATCTCACAACCTGGATATGTGCCCTAACTGGGAATTAAACTTGCCACCTTTTGGTTTACAGGATGATACTTCAACCAACTGAGCCACACAGGCCAAGGCTAAGAGATGGGTATTAAGGATGGGAGTTTGGCAGGGCAGCCCCATGGCCCCTGCCGCTCAGCCCTGCCACCCTGGCAGGGCTTCTTGCAGAGAAGTTAAAAAGAATGGGGCCAGAGAAAATGCCATTGGTTTTGAAAATAAGGTGCCATTAATGAGTTGAGAGAATAGCTTTAACATAAAGGTAAAAAAGGAGCACAGAGCCCGGCTGCTGTGGCTCAGTGGTTGATAGTCAACCCATGCTCCAAGAAGTTACCAGTTTGATTCCCGGTCAGGGCACATGCCCAGGTTGTGAGCCCAGTCTCCAGTGGGGGGCATGTAGGAGGCAGCCAGTTGATGTTCTCTCTCATTGATGTTTCTATGTCTCTGTCCCTCCCTCCCACTCTTTCTGAAAATAAATGGAAAAAAGTATCCTCAGGTGAGGAGTAAATAATAATAATAATAATAATAATGTCTATAAACAAATATACCAAGATGTTAACAGTGGTAAACTTTGGGTAGGAGGAATATGTGTGATGGTAATTTTTCTTTTAAAAAAAATTCTATTTATTTTATTTTAATTATATATTTGTTAATTCTCACCTGAGGATATTTTTCCATTGATTTTTCAGATAGAGTGGAAGGAAGGGAGGGAGGGAGGGGGAGAGAGAGAGAGAAACATTGATGTGCGAAAGACACATTAATTGTTCCCTCCGCAATCAAGTGTCTAATGGACACTAGGACTGCTTCCAAATCTTGGCTATCGTTGAAAATAATATTAATGTGGAAATTCAAATACATGCATTTCCATAGTGTAATTAGGGAGTAAAATATTTCTAAAACTCATTTTGTTTTTGTTTTTTTATCCTCACCTGAGGACATTTTTCCATTTTTTGTTCAGGTAGAGTGGGAGGGAGAGAGAGGAACAGAGAGAGAGAAACATCGATGTGAAGGGACACATTGAGTGGTTGCCACCCGCACAACCGACCAGGGCCGGGGACAAACTGCAACCGAGGTTCGTGCCCTTAGCGGGAACCGAACCTGGGTCTCTCAGGACCACAGGCTGACGCTCTAACCGGCCAGGGCCTAAAACTCATTTTGTTCTAGGACCAAATACCTTGCAAAAATTATTCTGAGAATGCTGTATGTACTCATATAGCAGCATAGTTAGGAAGCAAAGTAGTAATGGTACTGATACTGTTTTTGGTAGTAAGGAATAATACTGAGTAGATTTCTCATTTCCTGAGGTTTTTACGAACTGAAGTCATAATGAGCAGTAACTTTTTTCTCTCTGTATAATGAAAAAACTATCTAGTTGCAAAAAGCTGGAAACTGTTAAAATAAATGTGATTTATTATTGGATTGAAAATTAGAAGAAAAGTAGTTCAGTGACAGTATAGTTTCTAGTTCTGACTTTCTGAATGGGAGATGGGTACAATTATAGACTAAGAAAAGACTGACTATAGATGTAAATAGTTTAATGACATAATGACATAGAAAATATTACTACTTTTCATTAGTTTTTGTCTCTCTCATCTTCTCCAACCTTCTTCCAGACTCACCGACCTAAAGAAGATGGAGTTTATGTTTTTCAACCCCATAGTCAGCCAGTTAGCTGTCTTTACTTCTCACCTGCCAATCCGGCTCACATACTGTCATTGAGTTATGATGGCACATTACGCTGTGGGGATTTTTCCAAGGCTGTTTTTGAAGAGGTAAGTGTTAATGTGTTTACATGTTGATCTCAGGTGATATTCTAGATTCTTTATGAAATGCCACATGAATAATTATTACACCAGTCAGATTGGGTAAGGTGGTAGTGACTTTAGAACTACACTGCCTAAGTCCCAAACCATCTATTACTGCCCGTGTGACCTTGGTAAGCTACTTAACCTCTTTCTGCCTCCGTTTCCTTAGTTGTAAAATAGGATAGTGCTTTATAGGGTTGTCATTAAGGATTAAATGCAGATAATGGGTTAATGCAGATAGAGTACTTAGAACAGAGTTGTGAAACCATACCACAATCTAATTTTAGAATATTTTCATCACCTGCAGAATAAATCCCTTGACCATTAGTAGGTACTCCCAATTTCCCCCTTCCCCCAGACTTAGGCAACCACTAATCTTTCTGTCTCCATAGATTTGCCTGTTCCAGATACGTATTTCATATAAATGGAGTCATACAATTTGTACTCTTTTGTGACTGGCTTCTTTTGTTTAGCAAAATGTTTTCAGGGTTCATCCATGATGTAGAATGTGTCAGTACTTAGTTCCTTTTTATGGCTGAATAATATTCCCTTGTATGGCTATACTAGATCTTTTTCATCCATTCATTAGTTGACAAACATTTGGGTTGTTTTCATTTTTTACTATTGTGAATAATGCCATCATGAACATTAATATCCAAGTTTTGTGTGGGCATATGCTTTTATTTCTCTTGAGTTATGTACCTAGGAGTGAAATGGTAACTCTGTGTTCAACATATTGAGGAATGGCCAAACTGTTTTCTAAAGTGTGTTTACCATTTTATATATTCATTACCATGTATGAAAGATTTTAATGGCTCTACATCCTTGCCAACACTTGTTATTGTTGGTAAGTATAGCCAATCTTGTGGGTGTGAAGTGGTATCTCATTGTGGTTTTGATTTTCATTTCCGTAATGATTAATGATACTGAGCATCTTTTTATCTTCTTTTTTTTTTTTTAAATCCTCACCCCAGGATATTTTTCCACTGATTTTTAGATAGAGTGAAAGGGAGGGAGGGAGGGAGGGAGGGAGGGAGAGAGAGAGAGAGAGAGAGAGAGAGAGAGAGAGAGAGAAACACTGATGTGAAAAAGACATCAACTAGTTGCCTCTGCACAACCTGGACTGGGGCTGGGGATTGAACCTGCAACCCAGGTACGTACCCTTGACCGGAAATCGAACCCAAGACCCTTTGGTCTTCGGGCCAGCACTCTAATCGCTGAGCCAAACCATCCAGGGCTTTTTATCTGTTTTTTGACCATTTGCATTTCTGTAGAGAAATGTCTATTTGGATCATTTATCTTTTTAGTATTGAGTTTTCTTTTTTTTTTTTTTTTTTTGCATTTATCTTCAGATAGAGCGGGAGGGAGGTGGGGGAAGAGAGAGAGAGAGAGAGACATCAACGTGTGAGAGACACATCGACTGGTTGCCACCCACACGACCCCATCCGGGGTGGGGACAAACTGCAACCGAGGTACATACCCTCAGCAGGAACCAGACCTGGGACTTTCTGGTCCGCAGGTCGATGCTCTGACTGCTGAGCCAAACCGGCCAGGGCAGTATTTCTGTAAAAAATATGTTTTTATTGATTATTTTAGAGAGAGATAGAAACATCAATGTGAGAGAGAAACATCAATCAGCTGCTCCTGCATGCCCCCCACTGGGGATCAAGCCTACAATCTGAGCATGTGCCCTGACTGGGAATTGAACCAGAACCTCTCAGTCCATGGACTGATGCTCGATCCATTGAGCCATACCAGCTGGGCTAGTATTGAGTTTTATATAACAATTCTCCGACTTATTTTTTTGTCAGGTTTATTAAGGTATAAGTTACATATAGTAAAATTTAGGTGTACAGTTATAAGAGTTTGGCAAATTGTATGCACCCGTGTAACTACCACCACAATTAAGATATAGAAAATTTCCATCACTTGAAAAAATTCCTTTGTGACCCTTTATAGTCAGTCCTCTCTTCCTTCCCTACATCTCTGGCAACCACTGATGTGATTACTGTGTCCCTATAATTTTGCCTGTTACAGAATGTCAAATGGAATCATTCAGTATGTAGCTTTTAGTGTTTATTTTTTTTTATCTAGCATAATGCTTTTATTTATTTATTTATTTTATTCAGATAGAGTGGGAGGGAGAGAGAGGAAGAAAGAGAGAGAGACATCGACATGAAAGGGACACATTGAGTGGCTGCCACCCGCACGACCCAACCAGGGCTAGGGACGAACTGCAACCGAGGTACATGCCCTTAGCGGGAACTGAACCTGGGTCTCTCTGGACTGCAGGCCGAAGCTCTAACTGCTGAGCCAAACCAGCCAGGGCTAGCACAATGCTTTTAAAATTCATCCATAATGTTGCAGGTGTTAGTACTTTGTTCCTGATACGACCGATGTGTTAGGCATTAACTTGAGTGTGCATTTTATATGTTATTAAGCTTTATATTACTTCATGAAATAATAGGTAATGTTATCCCCATTTAACAGTTGAAAACACAGGTAAAGAGGTTTATTAGCTTGCTTAAGGACGTAAATGGCAGAACTAGAATTTGTATTTGGGTCTGTCTGACTTCAAAGCCTCTGTACTTAACCATTTTAATTTTTTTTCTTTATTGATTTTAGAGAGAGAGGAAGGGAGAGGGAGAGAGAGATAGAAACATCGATGAGAGAGAACATCAATTGGCCACCTCCTGCATGCTCCCCACTGGGGATTTGGCACACAATGTGGGCATGTGCTCTGACCAGGAATCAAACTGGCAACCTCTTGGTACATGGGTTGACATTCAATTACTGAGCCACACTGACCGGGCTGCACTTAACCATTTTAATATACTGACTGAATACTTCAAGTTTCATTTATGTATACTGGGTTTCTGTGGGTGTAGTTGGAATGCCTTTGGTATATTAATTTGTTAATCTTGGTTTATATTAATATTTATTATTAAAACTTAAAATCAGCAGCAGTTCATGATTCAACAGTAAGAATAGTGGTCATCCTCTCCTACTTGAGTACTGATACATTCTACATTTATTTTTTATTTCTTATTTGTGTGAGCCCTGAACCCAAAGTGAATAGTATTGTGGATTATAAGTGGTTAAAAAAAATAATACATGTTCATGATAAAACATTGTAGATAGGATATGCAAAGCAAATCTGCCCTTCCTACATTCTCTTATTCTTGTATTCTTCGGTATATACTAGGAAGTACACACATACTTACAGGCATATAGATAGAGACTTTTTTCTTTGCACTAGTGGATTCATACTATATACATACTTTTTTGCAACATGTTTTTTTACTTACTAGTATATCTTGGACAGTTTATAATACAAATCTACCCCATTCTTGCCCTGGCCAGTTTGGCTCAGCAGTTAGAGCGTTGGCCCATGGATCAGAGAGTCCCAGGTTCGGTTCCTGCTAAAGGCACGCACCTCGGTTGCAGTTTGTCACTGGCCCCGGTTGGAATCATGTGGGTGGCAACCAGTTGATGTGTTTCTCTCACGTCAATGTTTTTCTCTTTCTCTCTTCCTCTCTCTCTCCCTCCCGCTCTATTTGAAGATAAATGCAAAAAATGTTCTCAGGTGAGGATACAAAAAACCACACACACACAAAAACCAAATTTACCCCAGATGTACCATCATTTATTTAACCACATCTCTTTTGGTGGACATTGGTCGGTTTGGCTCAGTGGTTAGAGCGTCGGCCAGCGGTACTGAGAGACCCGGGTTTGATTCCCGCTAAGGGCATGTACCTCAGTTGTAGTTTGTCCCCAGCCCTGGTTGGGTAGTGCAGGTGGCAACCACTCAATGTGTCCCTTTCACATCGATGTTTCTCTCTCTCTCTCTCTCTCTCTTCCTTTTTCCCTTCCCACTCTATCTGAACAAAAATAAAATAAAAGAGATTGTCTCTCATATTTTCTTAATTTTTTAATCGTCACCCAAGGACATGTCCATTAATTTGAGAGAGAGAAAGAGAGAGAGAAACTTTGATATGTGTGTGAGAGAGAGAGAAAGAATGAAACAAACATCGACGTGAAAGAGAAACATCAATTTTTTGCCTCCCGTACGTGCCCTGACTGGGGATCAAACCTGAAACCTAGGTATGCTCCCTGACCCGGAATCATACCCTCAAATTTTTTCATATAAAGAGACAACGCTCCAACCAACTGAGCCACACAGTTGGGGGTAGATTGTATTTTATTGCTATTGTAAGCAATCTTTCAGCAGGCATCCTTATATATATCTTATTGAAATTATTAGGTATGAGCATTACATATTTTGGTAGACGTATCCTGCTCAGCTGTCAGAATTTCGTATCTCTTTACACTTACTTCCATCAGAGTAGGTGAGAATTCAGCCATATATCTTGGAATTTATTGGCACAGTTATTTGGTATATTAAGGTATTTCAACTGGGTAGAATTCAGAGTCTGTCCTTTTCCTAGTTTCACAGGGTAGATCAGCAACTGAGGTTTATTGGATTTAAGAGATTTTGGGATATAGACCTGACATGGGTGGATGGGCCCTTTGATTTAAGTGAGTCTCATAGCTGATCAGTGCCTTGGTTTCCATCTCTGTAAATGGGGATCATCATTTTGCCCTGTGCTTCCTGTGGGGATGATGGAGGATAAATGAGGTTATTTTAGGTAAAGTGTTTCATACTTTTTTTATCAAAGAATTTATGCATTGGCTTTCTTTAGAAGAAGAGTTATATGAAGTTGATTGCTACTTATATCCTTAGGTATACAGAAATGAGAGAAGCAGCTTTTCCTCCTTTGACTTCTTGGCAGAAGATGCCTCCACTTTACTAGTAGGACACTGGGATGGAAGTATGTCATTGGTGGATAGACGGACACCTGGAACTTCTTATGAGAAACTTATCAATTCTTCTTTGAGAAAAATAAGAACTGTTCATGTTCACCCACTGCATAGACAGTATTTCATGATGGCAGGATTAAGGTATGTTTTTCATAAAATTTTATGATTTAGACCTTTTTTTAAAAAAAATCCTTGCCTGAGGACATGCTTTTATTGATTTTAGAGAAAGAGGAAGGGAGAGAGAGAGAAACATTGATGTGAGATTGAAACATTTATTGGTTGCCTCCCCCCATGTGCTCAGATTGGTTATTAAACCTGCAACCTAAGTATGTGCCCTGACCAGGAATGGAATGGGTTGGGGCATCAACCAACTGAGCCGTACCAGCCAGGGCTATGATTTAGGAATATTAGTAATAATATTTCAATTTGGTTGTTAAATACATCTGACCTTTGTGATATTCACAGCTGAATAATTTTTCTTTCTACAGGGTTTTTTTAGTGTTATTTTTTTTTAAATGAGAGATTCTTTTGGATTTAATAAATAAAGTATTGAAACAAGTACACATTTTTGTTCTCCTTAGCATCAAATGCATTTACTTCTAGTCTTTTGAGAAGAAAACTTGTAAAAAATAAAAGTTATATGTGACTTATAACTTATTGGTCTGTGTTAATTATTTTCTTGGAGAGATTGGAAAACCAACTAGACTCTCATCTCTCTATACCCACTGGTTACATTGTTATGCTTTAGTTTTGGAATTTTTGTAATATTTTTAATCTTTACTAGTCTTTGTAAAATTAATGCAGGTTAGAGGGTACTGTCTTAAATGTTCTTCAATGTAGTGAGTATTTGAGTCTCTAATTTATGGTTAGCAATGTTCTAGAGGCTTACATGTACTGTGGTAACACTGAGCATTATTTCTTCGTTACAGCGATGTTCATATTTATGATGCAAGGCACCTGAATCCCAAGGGAAGCCAGCCGTTGATTTCTTTGACTGAACACACAAAGAGCATTGCTTCTGCTTATTTTTCACCTCTTACTGGTAACAGAGTAGTGACCACATGTGCTGATTGTAAGCTGAGGTAAATTGGGAAGACAGAAATATGTTGTTAAGGAATCTAAATTGTCTTTAGCTACTGTGTCAGTAAACTAGTAGCTTTCAATCACTGGTGCTATTGTTTTATGGCTATATCTAGGCTCCTGAAGATTTATGACCTATATTTGATGGCTCTTCAGCAGTTGTTTTTCTTTTTCTCTTCAGTTTTTTAAAAATATATGTTTTTGTTGATTTTAGAGAGGAAGAGAGAGAGAGAGAGACATCAGTGTGATAGTGTAACATCATTTGGCTGCCTCCCACAGGCACCGCAACTGAGGATCAAGCCTACAACCTGGGCACGTTTCCTGACCAGGAATGAAACCAGCGACCTTTTGGTGCATGGGATGATGGTCAACCAACTGATCCACACTGGCCCAGGCTTAGCAGTTTGTTTTTTTTAATCCTCACCCAAGCATATTTTTCCATTTATCTTCAGATAGAGTGGGAGGGAGAGAGAGAGAGAAACATTGACGTGAGCGAGACACATCAATTGCTTGCCTCCCTCACAACCCTGACCAGGGCCAGGGACCAAACTGCAACCAAGGTATGTGCTCTTGACCAGAATCAAACCTGAGACTCTTTGGTCCACGGGCCAACACTCTAACTGCTGAGCCAAACCTGCCAGGACAGGGTGAGCAGTTTTCGTATCTGGAATTTCCTTAATATTGACAAGGAAGGTCTGTAGCTATCCTGGGAAATCCACATCAGGCTTCCCTGTCAGCACTAAACAATTCCAGAAATTGCAGTGGAAGCAGGCTTGTGATATCTTGAAAGGGAAGTCATTTTAGCACAGGGAGAAGCTCTTACTTTGGAGATAGTAGGTTCTATTCTACAAGAATGAAAGTTGCAGAGTCCCAGGCCATGGGCAAGTAGAAAAGATAGCAAAATTGGGCTTCTATACAAACTAGTAGATATAGTTTTATGGTTTCAGCTTTGGTACTTTTCTATAGCTACATCCTAAAAGTGGTTTTAAAAATGTAACATAGCCTGGCCGGTGTGGCTCTGGTTGAGTGTCAACCCATGCACCAAGAAGTTGCTGGTTTGATTCTTGGTCAGGGTACATGCCTAGGTTGTGGGCCCGATCCCCAGTGTGAGGCATGTAGGTGGTGACCAACTGATGTTCTCTGTCATTGATGTTTCTTTTTATTTTTTATGTTTTTTTAATCCTCACCTGAGATATTTTTCCATTTGGGAGGGAGTGAGAGGGAGAGAGAAGGAGAGAGAGGGAGAAACATCAACGTGAGAGGGACCCATTGACTGGTTGCTTCCTGCATGATCCTGAGCACGGCTGGGGACGAACTGCAACTGAAGTAGGTGCCCTTAACTGGAATCGAACCTGAGATTCTTTAGTCTGTGGGCCAACACTGTAACCGCTGAGCCCAACCGGCCAGGGCTCTCATCGATGTTTCTATTTCTCTCTCCCTCTTCCTTCCTCTCTCTCTAAAAAAAAAAAAATTAATGTAATATAAGCCAGTTGAATAAAAAATAGAAAATAATGCCAATAAAAAAAGATGTGGAGAATGTTAATACAATCACAAAGGAAAATGATTTTGTTTTCTTCTCGGGTTTATGATTTTGCTTAACATTGCAAGCAATTTCTGTTTATGAGAGTTTTGCCTTAAGTGACTTTGTAATTCATTCATTATTTGTTGAACAAGGAGCTGTTGGATGTATACTGTGAGTCAGGCTCTAGAAAAGCATGTAATTTCTGTTTAGACCCATCTGTTGGGAAGAGCTTGGTCTACAGTGTGTAGCTCAGTTAATTTCTAGTGGTCTTTGAGTATTACCAGGTGGTACCTTAAGAGATTTAGTCACTAGGCAGTGGCAGCTTAAAGTGTTTCCTTTCCACCTCTGCAGTATCCTTTGTCTCAACAGCTACCTATTTGTCCCATTCCTGTTCATTTACACTGTAGAGTTTATTCTTACTACACTAGCTATTAGGGATTTGGCTTTCTAGTACAGTCGTCCCTCGTTTATCGCAGTTAATTCGTTCCAGACTCTAGCAGTTGCACCTGGTGTTGAAGGATTCCTGGGGTGCTCGAATACATAGGCCTAGAGTCCATATGAACAGTAATTTTAATTTTAATTGTAATACAGGGGTGTATAATTCACTCAGACAATCGAGCGTGTGCTATATCATTTTCACTGTCTTGATCAACTTTTTAATGAATATATTTGAAAAAACTGCGATAGAGTGAAGCCGTGAAAGTCGAAGTGCGAAGTGGCGAGGGACGACTGTAACCTAATAAAGCAATGAGCTCCAGTGCCAAGAAACTGTACTGGAATAGCTAGGTGTAAGGAGAAGGGGAAGGTGGTGCTGATATGGTTTGTTTCTTTCTGCCAGGGTACCTGGTGGAGGCTTCTGAACTCCTGCAGGTGCCTCACAAGAACTTCTCTTCTTGATTGGGTCTTAGACTTGCCAGCACCTGGAAATGACTATACCAGGCCCTCAACTGATAAGAAAATTGCTCTTGATGCAGCCATGTGCTTTTGCATTTTTAGACCACATACCTTATGTATGACTTATATTACTCTGAATCTGAATATAGTTTTAAAATCCAGATTATTATTTTATTTATTTTTTTATTTTTATTTATTTATTTTTTTAATCCTCACCCGAGGACATTTTTCCATTTTTTGTTCAGATAGAGCCGGAGGGAGGGAGGGAGAGAGAGAGAGAGAGAGAAACATCGATGTGAAGGGACACATCGAGTGGCTGCCACCCACACGACCAACCAGGGCCGGGAACAAACTGCAACCAAGGTACGTGTCCTTAGCGGGAACCGAACCCGGATCTCTCTGTACCGCAGGCCGACGCTCCAACTGCTGAACCAAACCGGCCAGGGCTATTATTTTATTTTTTGATTATTATTTTTTTAATCCTCACCCGAGGACAGTTTTCCAGTTTTTGTTCAGATAGAGTGGGAAGGAGAGAGAGGAAGAGAGAGAGAGAGAGAGAAACATCGACGTGAAAGGGACACATTGAGTGGCTGCCTCCGGCACGACCCAACAAGGGTCGGGGACAAACTGCAACTGAGGCACGTGCCCTTAGGGGGAACTGAACCCAGGTCTCTATGGAACTCAGGCCAGTGCTGTAACCACTGAGTCAAACTGGCTAGGGTGCAGATTATTATTTTAGAATGTACATTTTAAATTTGGAGTAATAGTGTTTATTTATTTATTTATTTATTTTTATCCTCGCCCGAGGACATTTTTCCATTTTTTGTACAGATAGAGTGGGAGGGAGAGAGAGGAAGAGAGAGAGAGGGAAATATCGATGTGAAAGGGACACATAGAGTGGCTGCCACCCGCACGACCAACCAGGGCCGGGGACAAACTGCAACCGAGGTACATGCCCTTAGCGGGAACCGAACCCGGGTCTCTCCAGACCGCAGGTGGACGCTCTAACCGCTGAGCCAAACCGGCCAGGGCTGGAGTAATAGTGTTTAAATAAATTATTTCTACAATACAAATAAACACTAAATTTTATAATATTCCTTGTAACTTTTGTTAAATATATTAGCTGAGGTTTATTAGCTCCTGACTCTATATATTTAAAAATAACAATCATTTCATGTCATGAACCAATGAAAAGGTTATTAAAAACGGTGATGTTTTTTTCAGAAAATTTGCAAGAAATAATAAAAAGAGTGTTACTTTATTCTTGTTCTTTATTTTGCAGAATTTTTGACAGCAGCTGTATATCCTCTCAGATTCCTCTTCTCACCACCATCAGGTAGGTTTCCAGATGCCAAATAATGTAGACCTTGAATTACTATGAGCTGTTTGTTGGAGTACATACATTAACTTATCTGATCGTCAAAGAGATGTAATAGGTCTGATTTTTGTGTTATATTGTGTAAGTGTCCCCATGTTCCTCTCCTATCCAGAAGAGTTAATGCTTCCAGGGTTCCTATGTTTATAAAGAGATTCAATCTCTTTTAATCAGTACTTGTTCTCTGAAGCTGGGTGGTTATTTTTGGTTAAGGCGAATGAATTTATTCCAACCTGCATTATTCATGTTATATTATTAAAGAAGACTGTAACCTGTTGATGAGGGTAGCTGAAGCTCTGTTTGTGCCTGTTTGTTCTGGGCTTAAGAGTATTTCCCTACCCTCCCACTTACTTTATTTCTTTGGTTACCCTCTATTTACATCTACTACTTTTAATGTATGTATTTTATACCAAATTTTACTCAAAGCCTTTTTCCTAGACATCCCTCTTTTCAGTATTTATGAAGTTGTGGACAGGGTGAACAATATATGTTGATTGTTGCTTCATGAGTTTTATAGTCTATAGAGGCTATATGTAAGTATATTTGTCTTCTTTTCCACAAATTTCTTCATTTCCTTTTTCAAACTTTATTCTAGTTTATTAGTTTCTAATTTGTGTATGTTTTTTTTAATCCTCACCTGAGGACACTTTTACATTTTTCTTCAGATAGAGCAGGAGGGAGAGAGAGAGAAAGAAACATCAATATGAGAGAGACACATGGAGTGATTGCCACTCACACAACCCCAATCGGGGCCGGGGACAAAGTGCAACTGAGGTACGTGCCCTTAGTGGGAGCCGAACCCAGAACTCTCTGGTCCATGGGCCAGTGCTCTAACCGCTCAGCCAAACTGGCCAGGGCCTAATTTGTGTTTTTTTTTTTTTTTTTTTATCCTCACCCGAGGACATTTTTCCATTTTTTGTTCAGGTAGAGTGGGAGGGAGAGAGAGGAACAGAGAGAGAGAGAGAAACATCGATGTGAAAGGAACACATCGAGTGGCTGCCACCCGTACGACCAACCAAGGCCAGGGACAAACTGCAACCGAGGTACGTGCCCTTAGCGGGAACCGAACCCGGGTCTCTCAGGACTGCAGGCCGACGCTCTAACCGCTGAGCCAAACCGGCCAGGGCCTAATTTGTGTTTTTAAAACATTTATTTAGGGTGATGATTCTGGGGTCAGTATGAATTTTCATTAAAGATAGCGCCATTGAATGGCAGTGGGAAATGTGGTTCTCTGTAGTCCATACTTCTTTAATAAGAAAGGGTTGTTAGTGCTCGCTTCGGCATCACATATACTAAAGTTGGAACGATACAGAGAAGATTAGCATGGCCCCTGTGCAAGGATGACTCTCAAATTCGTGAAGCGTTTCATATTAAAAAAAAAAAAAACCCAAAGGGTTGTTAATGATATGAAAGTATAGAGAATAAAAGGGCAGTATTTTTCTTTTTGCTATGAAGAGCTGTAAAGAGCCCCAAATGTATTTTTTAAATTTTAATTTGTTATTATAAACACACAACATTAAATTCACTACCTTAACCATTTTTAAGTGTACTGTTCAATAGTGTTAGGTATATTTGCATTATTGTACAACAGATTTTTAGAACTTTTTCATCTTGCAAAACTGAAACTTCTTTGTGCATTAAATATTAATTCTTTCTTCCCTCTGCCTCAGACCCTGGCAACCATCTTTCTAATTTCTATTTCTGTGATTTTGACCTCTTCAGATATTTTATATGAGAGGAATCATACAGCATTTGTCATATTGTGACTGACTTACTTCATTTATCAACATGTTCTTTCAGATCATCCGTGTTCTAGCATGTGACAGTATCTCCTCCTCTTTTTTTTTTTATCCTCACCCGAGGATATTTTTCCATTTTTTTGTACAGATAGAGTGGGAGGGAGAGAGAGGAAGGGAGAGAGAGACAGAAACATCGATGTGAAGGGACACATCAAGTGGCTGCCACCCGCACGACCAACCAGGGCCGGGGACAAACTGCAACCGAAGTACATGCCCTTAGCGGGAACCGAACCCGGGTCTTTCCAGACCGCAGGCCGACGCTCTAACCGCTGAGCCAAACCGGCCAGGGCTCTCCTCCTCTTTTTTAAGGCTGCATAATATTTCATGTATGTCTATACCTCATTTTCTTTATTCATCTGTTGTTGGACATTTGTTTTGTTTTTTTATCCTCACCAAGGACATTTTTCATTTTTTGTTCAGATAGAGTGGGAGGGAGAGAGAGGAAGAGAGAAAGAGAGAGAAACATCGATGTGAAAGGGACACATCGAGTGGTTGCCACCTGCACGACTAACCAGGGCCGGGGACAAACTGTAACTGAGGTATGTGCCCTTAGCGGGAACCGAACCTGGATCTCTCTGGACCGCAGGCTGATGCTCTAACTGCTGAGCCAAACCGGCCAGGGCTGTTGTTGGACATTTGAGTTGGTTTAATCTCTTGGCTATTATGAAAAATGCTGCAGTGAACATGGGTGTGTAAACATCTCTTCAAGATCCTGCTTTGAATATTTTTGGATAGATACCAGAAGGATTTTAATGTGTCATATGGTAATTCTATTTTTAATTTTTTGAGGAACCTTTATACTGTTTTTCCATAGTGGCCACAACATTTTACATTTCCACCAAGAGTGTACCAGGGTTCTAACTTCTATATATTCATCAATACTTGTTTTCTCGTTTTTTGTTTGTTTGTGATTATCCTAAAGGGTGTGAGATAATATTGTGGTGTTGATTTTCATTTCTCTAATGATTACTGATGTTGCAGATCTTTTCATATGCTTGTTGGCCATTTGTGTATCTTCTTTGGACAATTGTCTGCTTAAGTCTTTTGCCTATTTCTGAATTGGGCCATTTTTGTTGTTGAGTTGTAGGAGTTCCTTACATATTCTGCATATTAACCGCTTATCAAATACATGATTTGGAAACAACTGCCATTTTTTTTGTTTTTTAAATCCTCACTCAAGGATAATTTCCCATTTATCTCCAGATAGAGTGTGAGAGAGGGAGGGAGAGAGAGAGAAAGAGAAAAAGAGAAAAACATCAACGTGAGAGAGACACATCGATTGGTTGCCTACCACTCAGCCCTGACCAGGGCCAGGGACTGAACTGCAACCAAGGTCCGTGCCCTTGACTGGAATCGAACCCGAAACTCTTTTGTCCACGGCCCGATGCTCCAACTCACTGAGCCAAACCAGCCAGGGCAACATCTACCATTTTGTAGGTTGCCTTTTCACTTTGTTGTTTCCTTAGGTGCACAGGATTTTAAAGTTTGATGTAGTCCTATTTGTCTATTTTTGCTTTTGCTACATTTGGTGTCATATCCAAGAAATCATTGCCAAATCCAATGCCTGAAGCTTTTTCTCTATGTTTTCTTCTAGGAATTTTATAATTTAAGGTGTTATGTTTGGGTCTTTAATTCATTTTGAGTTAATTTTTACTGTCTAACTTTATCCTTTTGCATGTAGATATCCAGTAATTCCCAGCACTATTTGTTAGAGAGATTATCCTGTCCTCGTTTTATAGTCTTAACACTCTTGATCATTTGACCATATACATGAGGGTTTATTTCTGGGCTTCCTATTCTTTTCCATTGTTCTGTATTTTTGCCAGTACCACAGTATCTTTATTACTGTTGCTCTTTAGTATGTTTTGAAATCAGGAAGTTTGAGGCCACCAACTTTGTTCTTTTATAAGATTGTTTTGGCTATTTATGATCTCTTGAGATTCCATATTAATTTTAGGATTTTTGGTTTTTATTTCTGCAAAACATGCCATTGGGATTTTGGTAGAGATTGGTTAGTGTAGAATGCAACTGATTTTTGCATGTTGATTTTGTATCCTGCAACTTTTCTGAAATCTATTTATTTATAATTTTTTTAATACTCATGTGAGGATATTTTCTCCATTGATTTTTAGAGGGAGTAGAAGGGAGGGGGTGTTAGAGCATGATAGAGAAAGAGAGACAGACAGACAGACAGACAAACATCAATATGAGAGAGACACATCAATTTGTTGCCTTCTGCATGCACCCCTACCAGGGCCGGGGATTGAATCTGCAACCCAGGTATGTGCCCTTGACTGGGAATTGAACCCGTGACCCTTTGGGTCCACAGGCCTACACTCTAACCATTGAGCTACACTGGCCAGGGCCATTTTAGTTTAACAAGTCTTTAAAAAAATTTGTTTTCTTTATTGATTTTAGAGAGAGAGGAAAGGAGAAGGAGAGAAAGATAAAACATCAATGAGAGAGAACATCGATTGGCCACTTCCTGCATGCCTCCCACTGGGAATTTGGCCCACAACCTGGGCTTGTGCCCTGACCAGGAATCGAAAGGGCGACCCCTTGGTGCATGGGTCAACGCTCAACCACTGAACCACACTGTCTGGACTTAACAGGTTTTTTTGTGTGTGGTTGTGTAATCTTTAAAATTTTTCTACATGTAAGGTCATTTCATGCAAACAGATAATTTTAATTTTTCCTTTCCAACTTGGATGGATGCCTTTTATTTCTTTTTCTTGTGTAATTGACTGTCATGTGACTGCTCAGAATGTATCTCCCTTATCAAATACTTGTTGGTTTAATGGTAACACTTCACATGCAGGACACTTCATGTTACCTGTGAAGTTGTGAATGACCCATAAGTTAGGGAAATTGGTGTATCTAGTCCTACCCAGTTCTCTAGTTTTACCAGATTTCTAGTACTCTGTTGAATAGAAGTGGTGAGAGTGGGCCTTTTTCCTGATCTTAGAGCTAAAGTTTTCAGTCTTTCACCACAGAGTCTGACATTAGCTATGGGCTTTTCATATATGGCCTTTATTATGTTGAGATAGTTTTCTTCTATTCTTAGTTTGAGTGTTTTTATCATAAAAGGGCATTAAATTTTGTCAAATGATTTTCCTGCATCAGTTGAGATGATCATATGGTTTTTGTCCTTTATACTGTTAATATTGGTATATTACATTAATTTTTTTTTATCCTCACCCGAGGACACTTTTGCATTTATCTTCAGATAGAGTGGAAGGGAGAGAGGGGGAAAGAGAGAGAGAGAAACATCGACATGAGAGAGACACTTTCAGTGGTTGCCACCCACACAACCCCAACCGGGGCCGGGGACAAATTACAAGTGAGGTATGTGCCCTTAGCAGGAACCCAACTCAGGACTCTCTGGTTCGTGGGCCGACGCTCTAACCGCTGAACCAAACTGGCCAGAGCTACATTGATTATTTTTATATGTTGAACCCCATCCTTGCTTTCCAGGTGTAAATCCAACTTGATCATGGTGTATAATACTTTGCTGTTGAATTTGGTTTGCTAGTATTTTGTTGAGGATTTTTGTATCATTATTCATCAGAGATATTAGTCTTTAGTTTTCTTTTCTTGTAGAGTCCTGTCTGGATTTGATATCAGGATGTAGGGCTAGCCTCATAGGTGGGTTTGGAGAACACTGGTGTTAATTCTTCTTTAAATATTTGTTATAATTCTCCAGTGAAGTCATCTGGTCCTGGGCTTTTCTTTTTTTCTTTTCAATCCTTACCCGAGGATATGTTTTTTAGAGAGAGGAAGGGGGAGAGAGAGAGGGAGAGGGCAGGTGAAACATTTATGTGAGAGAGAAACATTGATTGGTTGCCTCCTGTATGAGCCCTTGCTGGGGATTGAATGCACAGCCTTTTGTGTACAGGATGATGCTCCAACCATCTGAGCCACTTGGCCAGATCTGGGCTTTTCTTCCCCCCGCCCCCCCACTCCAGCTACTTGGGAGGTGTTTGATAACTTTTAATTCCCTTACTAGTTGTAGGTCTATTTAGATTTTTTATTTCTTCGTGATTCAGTCTTGGTAAGTTGTGTGTTTCTGGGAGTTTATCCATTTCTTCTCGGTTATCCAATTTGTTAGCATATAATTGTTCATAGTATTTTCTTATGGTCCTTTTTATTTGTGACATCAGTTGTAATCGTTCCTCTTTCATTTCTGATTTTCCTTATTTGCATTTTCTTAGTCTAGCTAAGAGTTTCTTAATTTTGTTAATCTTTTAAAAAAATCAACTCTTAGTTTTGTATATTGTTTTTCTATCTCTATTTCATGTATCTCTGTTCTGATTTTTATTATTTCCTTCTTTTTGCTAATTTTTGGTTTTGTTTATTCTTTTTTTTTCTTGGGGTATAGTAACGTTTTTCCTTCTTCTGTTCCTTGAGGTGGAGTTAGGTTGTTGATTTTGAGATCTTTTTTAACATAAGGGTTTACTGCTATACATTTCTCTATTAGTATTGTTTTCACAGTATTCCATACATTTTGGTATGTTGTATTTTCATTTTTCTGCAAACATTTTTCTGATATCCCTTGTGATATTTTTTCTTTGAGCTTCAAATGTATTTTTAATTTTATAGATGTATGGAATATAAAATGATTTGGTTATCTGAGGAATACAAATATGGAAACAACAGCTCTTGATCAAACAGCAGTAACCAGATTACATATTTCTTATTTTCAGGGCTTCTGTTTTTATGTGTTAAAAAAAAACAGGAAGGTCTGTTAAGCTAGGAAATAGTAAACAAAAAAGGTGCCATTTCAGTAGCCACATAGTGACCATCCACTGAGAACAAACCACTGTACTTAGCATTGAAGATTAAAAAATACAGAAGACATTGTCTCTGTCTTGAGTTTTAAGTCTTGAAGGAAGGATGAGATTAGGTTGATGGTAACTTAGTAACTTAAAGAGAAGAAACTTGGCAGAGAAAATCAGCATATAGGAGCAATGCCATTTTTTACTCTCTGCCCATAACTACTTTGAGTTATTTTTAACACTTACTGTCTTTAAAAAAATTGTTTTTTTCTTACTAGGCACAACACCATTACTGGGCGATGGCTGGCCAGGTTCCAAGCTGTGTGGGACCCTAAACAAGAAGACTGTGTCATAGTTGGTAGCATGGCCCATCCACGACAGGTGGAAATCTTCCATGAGACAGGAAAGTGGGTGCATTGTTTTCTTAGTGGAGAATGCCTTGCCTCTGTGTGTTCCATCAATGCTATGCACCCAACTCGGTATATTTTGGCTGGAGGTAATTCCAGTGGGAAGATACATGTTTTTATGAATTAAGAAAGTTGCTGGGTTTTGGTGTAATACCAATTTGTTCAAATTAATTAGTGTCTATTTGGCAAATATAAATTGCTTTATTAATAGGAACTATGAGCAGAATGACACTCCAACTAACTGTACTTTTAGTGAAGGAGAAGCCTTGGAGATTTTTTTCTACAGAATGGGGAGGAAATTTGAGGGAGGCTGTGTTGCCTTCAGCACTTTAATCAGGCAGTATATTGAGAAGTTGTAACATTATCAACTATAAAGCTTTGACTGATTAGTATTAAAAGCTTTTGTGGACTAATGATATGGTTTATAAAAAATTTATTGGGTTGACATTGGTTAATAACAACAATATGTAAGTTTCAGGCATACGTTTTTATACTACCACATCTGTATACTCTATTGTGTGCTCACTATCTGAAGTCTAGTCTCCTTCCATCACCATATATTTGACCTCCTTTACCTTTTTGTTCTTCCCCAGCCCCTCTTTTCTGGTAACCACTATAACCACCATTTTGTTGTCTATATATATGAGTGTTTTTTTGTGTGTGTTTTTTTTAATTCTTGAGGACATGCTTAGAGGGGGGAGAGAGAGAGAGAGAAAATCATTGATGTGAAAAATATCATTTGGCTACCTACCCTTCACACGCACCCCAACTGGGGATCGAACCTGAAACCTAGGTATGTGCTCTGACTGGAAATTGAACTGGCAACACTTCGGTGCACAGGATGATGCTCAACCAACTGAACCACTCTGGCTGGGTTGTTTGTTGCTTTTTATTTTATATCCCACATATGAGTGAAATCATATGGTTCTTTTCCTTTTCCATCCAACTTAATTCACTTAGCATGATACTTTCAAGATCTATCCATGTTGTTGCAACTAGCAATATCGCATGTTTTTTATGGCTGAGCATAAAAACTTATGCCATATTTACCACATCTTCTTTCTCCAGGGTTCTGTCAAAGGACATTTAGATTGTTTCTACATCTTGGCAATTGTGAGTAATGCTGCAGTGAACAGAGGGGTACATATATCCTTACAAATAATTGTTTTCAAATTTGTTGGGTAGATACTAAAAGAGGGAATGCTGGGTCTTATGGTAGCTCTATTCTTAATTGTTTGAGGAAGCTGTTTTTCATGGTGGCTGTGCCAATTTACATTCCCACCAGCGTGTGTGAAAGTTCCATTTTCTTGTTTTGTCCAGTACTGTTAGCTCTTGTCTTACTGATAATAGTCATGCTAATGGGTGTCAGTTGGTACTTCATTGTGGTTTGGATTTGCATTTCCCTTATAACTAGTGATGTTGAGCATCTTTTTATATATCTGTTGGCCATCTGTATGTCTTCCTTAAAAAATTGCATATTCAAGTCCTCTGCCCATTTAAAAAAAATCCTCTCCCAAGGATATGTTTTACTGATTTTGTTTATTTATTTATTTTTATTGTTAACAGTATTATAGATGTCTTCCATTTTCTCCCTTTTTGCCCCTCTCCACTCAACCCCTGCCCCACACAAGGCCTTCCCCAAGTTATTGTCTGTGTTCTGGGTTATATATGCCTGTATGTTCTTTGGTTAATTGCTTCCTGTACCTGTTTTACTGATTTTTAGAGAGGAAGGGAGAGACAGAGGGAGTGAGAAACATCAATATGAGAGAGAAACATTGATCCCGTATGCGCCCTGACCAGGTATCTACCCGCAGCCTAGGTATGTGCCCTGGCTAGGAATCAAATTCACAACCTTTTGGTATACGGGATGACACTCCAACTAACTGAGCCACCTGGCCAGAACCTCTGCTTATTTTTCAGTTGGATTGTTTATTTTTTTGGATGTTGAGTTGTATGAGTTCTTTATATATTTTGGATATTAGTCCCTTATCAGAGGTGTTGTTTGAAAAAAATCTCCCATTCATTTGGTCATTTTTTTTGTTTTGTTGATGCAGAAGGTTTTTAGTTTGATTTAGTCATGTTTGTTTATTTTTTGCTTTTATTTCCTTTGCTTTTGGAGTCAAGTTCACAAACAACCCTCTGAGACCAATGTCTTTAAGTTTAGAGTCTGTATTTTCTTCTGTGTATTTTATTGTTTCAGGTCTTATGTTCAAGTCTTTAAGCCATTTTGAGTTAGATTTTGTGTATGGTGTCAGATAGCAGTCTAATTTTATTCTTTTGCATGTGGCTTTCCAGTTTTCCCCAAACTATTTATTGAGAGGCTTTGTTTTTTCCATCGTTAGTTTTGGCTCCTTTGTTGAAAATTAGTTGCCCATGTATGTGTGGATTTATTTCTGGGCTCTAACTTCTGTCTTATTGATCTCTGTATCTGTTTTTCTGCCAATACCATACTGTTTTGGTTACTGTAGCTTTGTAGTATAGTTTGAACTCAGAGTATGATACCTCCAGCTTTGTTCTTTTTTTTTTTTTCATAATTGCTTTAGCTATTTGGGGTCTTTTGTGGTTCCATACAAATTGAGGGTTTTTTGTTTGTTCTATTTATGTGAAAAGTGCCATTGGGATTTTGCTAGGGATTGCTTTATTTTATTTTATTAAAAAATTTTTTTTTCTTTATTCATTTTAGAGAGAGAGGAAGGGAGAGGGGGAAAAAGAGAGAAACATCAATGAGAGAGAACATTGATTGGCCGCCTCCTGCATGCTCCCCACTGGGGATTTGGCTCACAACCTGGGCATGTGCCCTGACCGGGAATCGAACTGGTGACCTCTTGGTGCATGGGTCGATACTCAGCCACTGAGCCACACTGGCCGGGCTAGGGATTGCTTTAAATCTGTATATTACTTTAGATAATGTGACCATGTTAACAATGTTAATTATTCTAATCCATGAACACAGAATATCTTTCCATTTCTTTGTCTTCTTCAGTTTCTTTTGACGTCTTGTAGTTTTCTATGTATAGGTCCTCCACATCCTTTGTTAAGTTTTTCCTAGATATTTTATCCTTATTATTGCAATTGTAAATGGAATTGTTTTCTTCATCTCTCTTGTTATTGTTTTGTTAGTATATAAGAATGCAACAGATTTTTGTATATTGATTTTGTATCCTGCAACTTTGCTATATTTATGTATTGTTTTTAATAGTTTTGTGGTGGAGTTTTTAGGGTTTTCTATATATATATAATCATGTCATCTCCAAGTAGTGACAATTTTACTTCTTCATTCACAATTTGGATGCATTTTATTTATTTTTCTTGTCCAATTACTCTGTCTAGGACTTCTGGTACTATGTTAAATAACAGTGGTAAGAGGGAGCGTCCTAGTTTTTTTCCTGATCATAGAGGAAAAGCTTTCATTTTTTCACCATTGAGTATGATATTAGCTGAACGTTTATCATATATGGCCTTTATGTTGAAGTACTTCCCTTCTGTACCCATTTTATTGAGTGTTTTAATCATAAATGGATATTATGTCTTGTCAAATGCTTTTTCTGTATCTATTGATATGCTTTTATGATTTTTATCTTTTATTTTGTTAATGTGGTATATCACATTGATTGATTTACAGATGTTTAACCATCCTTGCATCCCTGGAATGAATTCCACTTGATCATGATGTATGATCCTTTTAATGTATTGTTGTATTTGACTTAATATTTTTTGTTCAGGATGTTTTGCATCTGAGTTCATCAGAGATATTGGCTGTAATTTTCTTTTTTTTGTTTGTTTTTGTGTTGTCCTTTCCTGGTTTTGGTATCAGGGTAATGGTGGCCTTGTAAAATGAGTTAGGAAGTATTCCTTGTCTTCAATTTTGTGGAATAGGTTGAGGGGGATTGGTATTAAATCTCTGACTGTTTGGTAGAATTCACCAGTGAAGCTGTCTTGTCATGGACTTTTGTTTTTTGGGAGGTTTTTGATTACTGTGTATTTCTAAGAATTTGTCCATTTCTTATAGATTATTGAATTTAGTGGCATATTGCTTTTTGTAGTATTCTTGTATAATTTTTTTTTTTTTTTGTATTTCTGTGGCGTCCATTGTAACTTCTCTTTCATATCTGATTTTATTTATTTGAATCTTTTTTTTTTCCTTAGTGAGTATACCTTGGAGTTTGTTAATTTTATCTTTTCAAAGAACTAGCTCTTTGTTTCATTAATTTTTTCTATTGTCATTTTGTTCTCTATTTTATTTATTTCCACACTGATTTTTATCATTTCCTTCTTCTGACTTTGGGCTTTGTTTGTTTGTTTGTTTTCTAGTTCTTTAAGGTAAGATTACTTATTTGAGATTTTTCTTGTTTCTGAAGGTAGGTGGCCTGTAATGCTATGAACTTCTCTCTTGGTACTGCTTTTGCTGCATCCCAACAAATTTGGTATTTGTTTGTTTATTTATTTATATACTTACTTTATTCTCACCCTAGGATATGTTTTACTGATTTTTAGAGAGAGAGAGAGAGAGATCAATGTGAGAGAAACATTGATTAGTTGCCTCCTGTCCTTGCCCCGACTGGGGTCGAACCTGCAACCTAGGCATGTGCCCTGACCAGGAACTGAACCTGAAACCTTTTGGTGTATAATATGATGCTCTAGCTAACTGAGCCACCTGGCCAGGGCTTGGTATGTCATATTTTTATTTTCATTTCTCTAGGTATCTTTTGATCTCTCATTTCTTCTGTGACTTAATAGTTGTTCAGTAGCATGTTAATTTCCACATTTTTGTTTTTTTCAGCTTCTCTTGTATTTAATTCCCATTTTCATACCATTGTAGTCAGAAAATATGCTTGGTATGAATTCAACCTTAAATTTATTAAGACTAGTTTTGTGCCTTAACATATGGTCAACCCTTAAGAAAGTTCCATGTGCAATTGAGAAGAATGTCTGTTCTTTTGTGATGGAAAGTTCTATGAATATTGATTACGTCCAGGTGGTCTAATATGTCATTTAAGGCTATTTCTTTATTACTTTCTGTCTGAATAATCTATCCATTGTTGGCTGTCAATGGGGTATTCAGGTCCCTACTGTAATTATATTTTTGTCAGTTTCTCCCTTTAGGTCTGTTAGTAATTGCTTTGTGTTTTGGGTGTTCCCAGGTTAGGTGCATATATATTGATAAGTGTTATGTCTTCTTGATGAGCTAATCCCGTTTATCATTATAAAATGTCCATTCTCTCTTGTTACTTTTTTTCTTTTAATCCTCACCTGAGGATAATTTTCCATTGATTTTCAGATAGAGTGGGAGGGAGAAAATGAGGGAGGGAGGGAAGGAGGGAGAGAGAGAGAAAGAGAGAGACAGACAGACAGACAGACATTGATGTGAGAGAGAATATTGAATGGCTGCCTCCTGCATGCCCCCACTGGGGATTGGGCCCACAACCTGGGTATGTGCCCCTGACTGGGAATTGAACCAGCGACCTCTTGGTGCATGGGTCCATGCTTAACCACTGAACCACACCGGCTGGGCAAGAATGAAACATTTCTACCTAGGGCACTTATTTCATGTCCATATGTAAATACCATTTTCAGTTGATAGCTTATATTCTTCCTATAAGCAATCATAGGTTTGGAGTTAGTAATGCATTACAAAGCCACACAGTCAAATCTATGGCAACACAAAAAAGTTGTTTCTGTTTCCTTATTAAAATGCCAACTGGTTGTCTATTTTTTTTTTTATCCCATTTATTTGTAGCTACAAGTTAACAAATAGTGTCAACATTTATTGTAGGTGAAGTGGGGTATTGCTGGATCAAAGTCTCTATAAGACAAGTTACTGATTTATTAAAACAATTTTTTTTCTTTATCGATTTTAGAGAGAGGAATGGAGAGGGAGGGAGAAACATTGATGAGAGAGAACATCAATTGGCCACCTCCTGCATGCCCCCTACAGCCTGGGTATGTGCCCTGACTGGAAATCATACTGGCAACCTCTTGGTGCATGGGTTGACGCTCAACCACTGAGCCACACTGGCCAGGTGACATGTTACTGATTTAATGAGAAGGTTTATTTAGTTCAACCACCACCTTTCTCACCTTGGCATCCTAGTCTTTATTAATATAATATATATATGTCATACATCTTCCATCTCCA